CTGGCGGAGGACCGGATGAAGTGGCGCCAGCAGCTGCGCGAAGGTGGTGACAGACTTGACAAAGACTGGATTCGTGGACTTGCTCAAAAACGTGGACATACTGTATCCCTCTGATTGCACTGTACAATCTCTTGTAGATTTTCTTGCCAATAAAACAAAAGTAATAATAATAATGACATTTTCATCATGGCTGGTTTGTCATAACTATGGTATTTAATAACAGCATGTGCTGACTTTTCTTCTACTTAAATTGAGAGTCATATAAACATGTACTGTCTTCGTTTGTCCTCATTTACAAAAAGGTGTTGCAGAATTCACTTCCTTGAGATAACCTGAATGAAGTACATTTGAAACACTGACTGAAAATAACTATGCAATTCATGGCATTCTCACTCTATAAACTTTGAAGGCTTTCTTATATCATGCTGCAAATAAAAAGGCCTTTAAGGTAATCAACTTTGATATGTCCAATTCTCCAATGAAACCGAACATCTCATCACTATGGGTGATATGTTTCCCAAATGAGCCATGCAGGTTAAATGAATTAAAGACATAAAGATAATGATCTTATCATCTTTAGTGACTGCTTCTTTGCAGATTTGAAAAGACTGACGGTGCAGCCTGTGAAAACAATTAGGTTGGCTGTGAGTTTTATTCTTTTGTGTCTACTTAATTTTACTGTTGAAGCAATGAGGTGGTGCACATTGGATCGATACCTTTTATATTATGTCTTTATAATTAATAAAAAATATATATATATATGATTAATACCCGGGTCACGATAAGAGAGATAATGCTTATGAATACAAATTCTGAAGGCACAAGTCAGATTTATCATGTAATACAGTGCATTAAATTACAAATCTGCTTCATTTTAATTGAGTCATAAATACCACGATAATGTTCTCATGATATTATACCATGAGGTTTTGGTATTGTTACATCCCTACTGGCTACTGTGTCCGTCATGTCTAATTGGTTTTTCACATGGTCAATAAATTGTGAGTCCAAACATGTCCATTGAATTTTTTCAAAGTCGAAGCGCATTATTTACATTTCTTGGTTTATCTAAAAACCAAGACATTTAGCTTAATATGATGTAAAAACGGAATAAAATAAGGACATTTCCATATTTGAGAGACTAAAAACAGTGTTATCTTATATTGTTGCATGAAAGCATGATCAGCTTAACCAACCATATTTCCTGTTGATTGTATTTAAAATGAATTAACAATAAATAAACACATGTCTTGCACTTTAGATTGTGTGACCATGTAAATGCTGGAGATCAAAGGGTAGGCCCCTGCACGACTTAGGTCATGATCAGTGGCACTGTGTAAAAGTCGGATACCCCTGGCAACTGGCAAGTATTGTGTTGGGAAAATACTGAATGTACTCTTCGGTTAACGTGATGATTCAGCCTATGGAGATATGACTGTCATGTTTATTTTTTACGCAGACCTTAGCTAATCTGAACTAAGGCCAGAATACTGCTTTGAACCGTTATTCTGCATCTCGTGACTGTGATACACCCTCTCATGTATAAGGCATGTCAAGGACACTGTTCTGAGAACTATTTTTCCCATGCAGCCCTATGCGTGATGACTACTTCCATTCTTGCAAGGATAATAAATACATGAATCCTGATATTGAATGTCAAGCCGGTGACAAGTGATCTTTTTCTAACATTCCATTATGGCATTTTGAGGAGCTCTGAACTGAATCACATACCATGTCTCACTGTACATGTATAGCTAAATGTCTTCATAAGGACTGTTGGTAACCACAGGGTCACCTTTAAGCAAACGCTTTGTCTGGATGACTGTGACCTTAATGTTGTGTCTCTTTGAGTGAGTAAATCTTCTTAATCAAGCAGTGTTTGTGAGAGCATGCATGTAAAGACCCATGTTCAAATTGTGATATGTTATATGTTGCAGAAATGTGACCCACAGACATCTGTTTCATGCTACACATTGCAGCAATAAATTAATAGAGCCTTTAGGTAAGAGTATGTGGAGAGTGGAAAAAAGAGATGTCACCACACCAATGAACAGTACAAAAGCAGAAACACCAGCACAAAAGTAGAAGAATGGTGAAGAGGGAAACCATTCTAAGAGGAGTAAGGAAAGATTATTCTCTAATCCGAGAGGCAAAGCGACTTAATGGAAACTGCCTCTTATCGGGCATGATGCAGAGACCTTACCATTGCCTCTGCTTCACTTTGATGTGTTTTGAGAGAGGGACTTTTTAAAACTGCCTCACCACAGACACACACACACACACACACACACACACACACACACACACACACACACACACACACATACTGTAC